ACGCTCGTCTGGTTATCCAAAAAGAAAAGAAACACACAAGTTGCAAACAAAATTTTAAAAAAAAAAAAAAAAAAAAAAAAAAAAAAAAAAAAAAAAAAAGAATAGGCTGAAAAGGCCAATTCAAGACTCAAACTGAAAAGCAGCTCAGTGGTTTTCTTGGATCAGTAGATCTTTTCACAAAACATTTTAAGATGGACTTGAGACAAATTTCTATAAGTTGTGATGTGTTTGAAGTAGGAGGAGAAATGGCAGATTAATCTAAACATAACTGACAGATAGTGACAATGCCCTTTCTGGTGATTAATCAAAGGAAAAGCCAGTGTTGTGGCTCAAGGTTGTGATGCAATTCATATAGTGTATGGTTCATTGTCTCAGCCAGCTGTGGGACCTGAAGTTATAAACAACAGAAATGTCTGAGGGAAATAGGAGGAAGGATTTTGAAGCAAGAGAAACTCTTTTGTTATTGTTTCAAAAATAATAGTACACGGAAACACTTCACATCCACAATTCCACCTCATGCCTCCTTTGGTTCCATAATGTCAAACTTCTTTATAAAATATTAACCCAGCAATTTATAACGGACAGAGGCGCCTCAAAGAGAAGTGACATCCAGAAACTGTTTTAGTGAAAGAGGCTACTGTAAAAAATGAAAGATTATTCATGTGGATTTTCACACAAACTCAGAACTTACTGTCTATAGAGGACATGGTAGTGAGGTTTTGAGAGACAGACACCCTGACGGCCCAAAGTCCTGCAAATAAAAAAAGAGGAAAATGTTAGATTCACAGTTGGAACAGGAGGAGCTGAGCTGCTTTCAGTTAAACATTGCAAATAAAAATGAACACCACATCGTGTAATACATATATATAGGAAAACATAATGTAAAGCAGCTTAATGCTTTACATTGCAAAACTGTTCTTTTTAATGTCAATCTGTATGACTCGTCCTATATGTTTAAATTGTACTTTCTTTCAAAACATTTGACTGAAATAACTAGCCCAGCTCACTTCTTACTCAGATCAGAAGGAGACGAAGTAGTTTCAAAGTATGAGCATGTTTTAGAATTAAACACCGATTATCTCATATCACTTTCCTCTGTTCACAAAAAGATTTTAGAGGACATCCTCTTCAGAAAAGCATCCAGCCAGCAGGCGCATAGCTTTACACATAAGGACACAAACCCATTAAAAGCATGTGGATAAACTCCAGCGGACTAAACGTGCATCTAATAGCACAATAAAGCGTAAAAATAGGTAAATACAATCGTTTCAATCAGCCAGTTATTATATTCAGACTCAAAGTCCACTAGGTGAGCCATTCAATGCTCCTGGAAACATGTAGCATTAGCCAGTTAGCTAGCTATATCGCAAAGCATTCTTAAAAAAACGTTCCATTATGACTGAAAATTTGAAGTCAGATTTTAGCAAATGTCCTCACCCTTAACGCATTTACGTCCTGTACAAGTTATTGTGACAAGCTACCCAGGGAAAACTATTAAAAAAGCTGTCTCCGAGCCCAAAGTTACAAATGACAGACGTACTGACCTTAGAAGCAGCGCCATGTTTGTCAGGCAGTGAGCGGAAGTGACGATGCGGATGTTGTTGTTCCAACCGGGGTGTTTAAAATAGAAGCCAGATTAAGGTAAACGAAAACAGTTTCTTTATGCATGTGAGCTTGTACTTTTTTAAACTGCATAATAGTCGGATCTAGACAATTAAAATAAAATAAATTTTAAAATATTCATTTAAAAATATCAATATGCATGTATTTTATTGTTCAATATGTATTTGATTTTTGACCACAGTTTAATCCAAAAGATTCCAGAAAAAATGTATTTGCAACCGTTATAGAAACTGTATTAAATTCCAAAATATAAGAACAAAAAAGTAAATACATTTTTGGTGCATTTTTTTTCTGTATAAAACATTGTCAAGTTTTAAAGAATAGTAAAAGTGATGTTCTATTAAAAGGATATAGCAGTTAATATTTTACCTTCAATGCATAGATGTCATAGCATTGCTGCTTCTTATGAATACAGATTAGTTGGACCCACCAGATTAAGAAGCTCTAAGGGCCAATACCAAAAGGAAACTTCCACCATTTGGGAGGGGTCTTCACCGGGCGATGTCCTGCAACTTTTAGATGTCCCCCTGGTTAAACACATCATAATCAAATGGCTGAATTACCACCAAGTACTGCCAACTTCATTATTTTACTCAGGTGTGCTGAAGCAAAGACACATCCAAAAGTTGCAGGACACTGCACCCAGAGGCTTAGATTTGATGACCCCTGTTCAATGTGGGTCATTGGTCAGACTGAGAGGAGCTGGAAGCTCCAGTTTTTTGTAATTGTTTGATATGTGTTTGTCTTAACATAATCAAATAATTAAATCATTAGCAGAGTTGCTACAGAACTTGATTGCCTCCTAAGGAGGTATTTCAGACATTTTATGCAAACTTGTTCAAATGTCTGAATCAGTTAGGCATGCGTTAGGAATTTGGAATATGTCCAAATGTTGCTGGACACCGGCAAAGACTAGATTTTTATATTCGGACATTTAGTCATTACTTAAAAGATGATTATTTAGATGCTAAATGGAGATAGGAGGCAGCATGTCCACAATAATCGTTATGTTTGACAGAAACACTAAAAATGTAATATGTAAACCATTTCTGGTCTGAGTAGATACCCCAACAGTCACCTAGAGCAGGTTAAAATGAACAGAAATGTTTAATAAAATAGTGTTAACTTAAATTACTCAGTCTTGCATGCTTCCTTACTTTTCTTAGTCAGATCTTTTTTTCTCATCATTGGTGGTGTACAGTCTCCATTTTTTTTTTTGTAAATAACAATCAATACCATACAAGATGAAAGCTTAGAGGATGATAAAATATTTGTCTGAGAAACCATTTGATGCTTTTGAAACTGGAGTGGTTTTAAGCTGACAGTCTAAGTCAGCTTCCAGCTCCTCTCAGTCTATTCATTAGCATCTGCTAATCTGGAAGAAATCAAGAGAGTTATGTGCTGCAGGTTGGGTACTAACAGTTTCTAACATTTTATAGGAACCACATTTCAAAGATGTAAAACAATCAACATTTTTAGAAAATAAAATTAATAATAAATTTAATGTAAAATTATAAATATTGTATGTACACTGAATGTTTTAAAAGGGTACTCATGTTGCAGCAAGTTAAACTGGATCCAGCCAGCATGTGTATGTGGGCCCCATCTGGGTTTATTTCAGGTTGAATAGGGTATTAAATGCACCTTGAGGAGGACAACGATTTCAAACAGATGTATTCCTCTTTCATTGAAAACAGGCTGCTAATTAGATTGATCAAGCTGCGATTGTTCAAAGCTTCAGCAGTGCAGATTTAATAAAAATAGTGAAAGTTTGTTGATTGTCTTTCAAATATGTTTTTTTTTGTTTTGAATAATTTCAAGCAAGTGATGTTATAAAAAAGTTGTGATTAAAATAAATAAATAAAGCTAAATTTATGCCTGAGCTATGCCTCACTGTAGATTTGTGCCTTAATTTGTATAATCTGCAGTTAAATATGTTTCTTGTGAGCAGTTTTTACTATTTGTGTCCCTGTGCACATACAGACCCACATGAAGGACAGTCTTGGCCATTCAATATAAAAGTTTTCTCCTAGAGGATTCCCTGAATTCTTTTAATAATTGCAAATATTTCAAGCACGATTGCTCATATGAAAAAAGAGCAGCCTAAAGAGGATGAGTCTTGGGATGGTTTGAAGCTCCAAGAAAGACTTTGTTGGAAATATCCATCGAGGAATTTTTTTTTTCCTTTTTTAAAATTTAAAGAGTTATTTATAACATGTAAAAATATTGATGAAAATGAAACAGGAGAGGTCATTGCAACACGAATATGCCCCTGACCCACATGTTTTTGTATTTTGCAGAATTTAAATTAATAAGACTTCTATTTTATTTGATGCATTTGATCCGTTGTTCTTGGAAATATTTGGAAGTGAACACGGTCTTTAAATAAAATGCAAACAGGTCTATTAAGTGGGGGTTTTATTCTACACTGGTTTTACATTAATATCTTACCAGTTTTAGAATAAGGAGCATGAAGAAGTACATGTTGTATTTCAAGTAGAGGTCAGTACAACTGCAAAAAAGTGAAGACCGAAAAAATCCTCACTTTCCACAAATGACCTTCGTTTGTTGGTAGGTATTGTAAAAGTGGTCCTCTATAAAAGTGTACACACACACACACACACACACACGCACACACACACTACACTAAGCAACACTTACTGTCCAAAGTTAATAATGCCCAGGAGCAATATTACATTGAATGTTTAATATAAACAGCACAACACTTCCAGTTGGTGAAAAATTGCACTGTTAATAAGCGACTTTGATCTATGTTAATGTACATAAAAACAATCTGTTGTATGATCAATCCCATGGCCAACCAAACATTAGTTTAGAGAATGGTCCATGAGAGGGAACCCTGCTTCCATCGCTGTTACTCATAAAGGCACAAAAGGTTGTTGTGGATAAATTTAAGAGATCCACAGGGACGTTCTGGAGTGACCTGGAGGAAGCAATTCATGCATGTGAAAGGAGAAGGCTGGTGTGTTCTGTGCAAAAAAAAAAAAAAAGAATGATAGTCAACAACAAAGAATCATAGATAGTAATCCATTTTATTTGAAAACTTTCAAACTGATGAAAATCATTCACTGTTGCTTTTCATTCAAAGGCCACAATACATCACTTCAGGAAGAGTTTACGTAAGGCACCAAGGTGCACAAGAACATCATCTTGCTGTAAATGTTTTCTGATGAAACAGGAGAAAGGAACAACTCGCAAGCCTTTTTTCAGCAGTATTTTATGATAATCGGATTTGTGAACTGATCCATGCAATATTACATCTGACAGACACACACGCAGTTTCACCCTCACAAAGCCCGGAAGTAAAACACACACACGATGCAAACTGACATTTTCTGAATGTTAATAATACGTCTCCTGCTCCACCCAACCTGGAAGAAACCAAGAGAGAGAGAGAAGGAGAAAACAGAGGAAAAGTGTCAGGGAACAAAAAGAATGACAGGTTTCATAATAACCCATTGTATCGCTCTATTTGTATTCATCTCATTGCCTTTCTCTTCGTACATTTCCAAATGAATCCCCTTATAACTCAGAGTCTGATCAGCAGCCCGTGACACACAGATTAACAGAAATGATTAACTGTCAGCATGGATTGTATTTGTCTGCCCACGTCTTGCCCCTCATCAGCTGAGACGCTCTGGCAGAGAGCAGATTTCTAGCCATTGTAAGGTTTCCATATCGTCTGGATGATCTTCAGGGCATATCTCAAGAGTCTTCATCAGCCTGCTTTAATTTCCTCTCCAATCATTTAGCATTGGCTCTGTTGATGGGTGATCAGGTATGTTTATTTCCTGGCCTGAGTTTGACATATTGGATATTAGCTCGTTGGCAAACAGGATAACCACTGCGCTTCAACACAGAATACAGCCGGAAGATCAAATTGGCTTGCCAGGAAAAGATTGTTCATGTCAAAGTCTGTGCTTTAAACTTCGACTTGTTTAAATGAATAGCTGTGTTTCCACTGCAAATCAGCAAAAAGCTTTGACAATATTATGCTAGTGTCAAAAAAATTAAATTTTGCAATTTTGTTGTTGCATTTAAACAAGAGCCGCAATTAAAATCACATGTGAATAAGTTTGGTTGCACATTAACCTAGAAATAAACCAGTTTTGATACAGAGAAATGACTTGAATCTGTTAAAGAAAATCTATGAAGCTACTAAGAAAATAGGGTGTTCGCAAGAAGACCTTCCACTCATAACTTTATCAATGATACAAATGGAAACATGCAAAAAAAAAACTGGTCAGCAATGATAATATATCATTTAATTTTAGTGACCAAATTTGTTGAAAAATGTCATTGTTTTATTTTATTTTTAAAAATGTCCCTATCAGAACCAAACTTCTCAAGGAGAGAGCGAGAGAGATGAATTATATATTCAAACATTTATACAAAGTGGTTGTTTTGAAACTTTGTTGAAGTTGTATATCATACAATCATCCCTCCCTGAAACGTAGAACAGTTCAATAAAATAATTAAAAAGATCTAAAATAATGTCATTCTTGCTCAGGATGAGCGTTTCCTTCTCACCAGAACCTTACAACAATTGGCAAACCTCTGTGGGGCAAAACGGATTCTTCTGTTGTAGGGGCAAACAAAGCGGAGCTGAAATAACTTCTGCCTGACCCAAAAAGCCTTGACATCCATCAAAAAGGCTTAATGACCAGAGACATTGTAGGACAAGGGTCAGCATTCCGCGACCTTTGATAGATGGAGAAGTGCAAGAGGCAAGAAAAATCTAAACCTGGCCAAGATTCCGTTGAAAGGTCTGAATTCAGCTCAAGACTTCAACTGGACTGGACAGCCATGTGTTTTTATTTTATTTTTCTACATTTCTTTGTTTATCCTCAAGACTGCAAACAGTGATCTAAAAAGTTATTTAAAACTCTGATCACAATTTGGTGCACACGCAGCAGTTGTCTCAAGCTTGAGATCAAATTCAATTTCAGCCATCAAGAGGATGTTTGAATTTCACCAACAGAGATTTTCTCGTTTATAAGCTGTGATTTTATACTCCTTTTATTAAACAGGATTCCTGAACAAACTGTCCGGACACAACAGTACATTTAAATGCTATTTTGTTAGAAATCAAACTTGAGAGACAAACAAAAATCATTCCAGTGTTGCACAGGCAGCAGCTTTTATAGCCTTTGAATTGTTCAGTACTGAATCGATTGCATTCTGCTCGACTCCTGGTGGTTTTCAGTTGCATTTACCAACCATCAGGCTTCTGGTTTCTTTTTTACTACGGCTTGGATTGATAGAAACTTTTAAATGGAAAATGAGTTCAGATCCTGTTTCACAATGCATCCTGAAATGAACAATGATGCCATTCATTCATGTCAGAGACTAAAGGTAGGTTACTCCCTTTGCTTTATTCACGCGATGGGACTTTTCAATAAGACAGCTGCAACCGGGGCTGAATGTTCCTGCATCCCAACCAGTTATCTTTTGCATTTCCCCAAAATAAAAGCTGACAGTAATCACCCATAATTGTGACTAATTTCTCAGCAATTCATCACTCAGTTACATCATATTTGTTATTCATTCTGGTTCAAACTGAGAAACAATGACACATGAACAAACTGCAGCAATTTTTGCTTGATTGACTGATGATTTGTTTCTGCTATAGACGCCAAAAGAAAACATGACAAATTCAGTGTGGAAAATAAGTATTTGATTCCTTGCTTATTTTCTACATTTGCTCACTTGCAAAAAAAAACAACAAAAAAAAAAAACACATTATAGTGGTTTTAGTTTATTTTAAAAAGACAGTATTAACAGAATTTTCTGACAAAAGAATGCATTATGAATGCATATAATCGAGGGAATAACAAAACCAGAGTTATGCCACCCAAAGATTGGTTACGTTGCCATGTTACACACATATGAATCAGCTACTTATTAGCATATATGCAACACACAAGTGCACAGAATCAGTTTCTTTAACTCCAAACGCCATGGACAGATCAAAGAGCTGTTAAAGGTAGATGGGTACCGCGAACATCAGCCAGAGTTTCTTGAGAAGGTGAGAGCTTTAAAGACAATTGGCTCACTTTAAATGGACCAGAGTTTGTTTCACCCATTGGTCCAGACCTTTAGTGCAGGTGAGAATACAATAATGCAAATCCTCAATCAACCAAACCAAGACTCACATTTTGAGGCGGTCTTTGTTTTCAAACGAACTTCGGTACAGTTTGCCAAAAATTTAATATAACATGGGAAAAATGTGGTGTTATAAGTGAAAGAATCTGCCAATGGATTTAAGGAATTGTTTGCTTAAAACAACTCATGTATCTTGCTAAAAAGTTGGTTGTACTTTAGTTTTTTCTCATTTCAAGTGTACTAAGATATTTGCACTAAAAACTAGATCAAAAGAACTTGGTAAGATTTTGTGTTTTTGCAGTGCCTTGATACGACCCAACTGCAGGAAATATATGTCTTTTTGGACTTCATGATTCACCGTAGATGGGGATTTTGGTCAAAACAAGCTCTTCGTTGTTGCTAATGCTACTACTGGTTGTACAGGTTGTGATAAAATCGCACCATTTTCTGCTTAGTGATGCTGCTGCCAGCATGTTATGGGTCAGGACACACAGAGGATCTCCCTGATTCAGCTTGCAGCAGCATATACCGACTCTGTTCCAAAATAAGAGATACCCCACTGCGATATCCGTGGTTAATGAGCTGCTCATTCACAGTGGTATTGCAGTTATGCAGGACTTCCATATTTGTTTTTTCCGGGTCCTTCATTTCTGTCCAATGGGAGCAATGATCGTCACCAGTGTTTGCAAAATATAGTCCACTTGCAAATAAGCACAATGTGAAAGCAAACCATGCAAAATGAAAAAAAAAAAAAGTCCGCTTTCGGTCCAGACCAAACAAAAGAACCAAAGGACTTTTCTGGTGTGAATACACCCTAAAATGACCACCAGTCACCCTCGGTCTATACCTCCATGTAAGGAGGTCAAGGGGTGACAATATTCATAAGAAAGGTAATGGATCAGCCTGCAGCTATATGGAAAGGTTACAGGACCACAGTGACCAAGAACACCGCAGGTAAAACATTGTAATGGACTGAAATTTTGCATCCTATTCATGAAGACATGTACAGATATTTCTTTGGTTTGCCTGTGAACTTCTTAATGATTCAGAGAAGAGAGAATCTGCTGTGGTCAGATGTGACTGAACTCAAATTATTTTGCATCATCTCAGCCTGCCGTGTTTTGAGGAAATGAGTTGATATGACCTGGAGAACAACGTGGAAACATTGCTCTAGGACTGTTTTTCTGCTAGTGATGACTTCCCCACATCGAGGGTCTATTGAACAGTTGTGATTTATTATGAAATCTAGGAGGAGAACACCAAAGATGGGTCATGGATCAATGTTCCAGCATGACAGTATAACCCGAGATACACTGCTAGGACAGCAAAGATGGAGCCAGAGAGGAGCCACGCTAACGTTATGGAGTGTATGTTCATTTGGGGGCCAAAAAAAACCTTCAGTCTAACAGAAAATCAATGATGTGAGAAGAAGCTTCCAGTTGCCAAGCAGCAGGCAAGAAATCTAAAGGATTTAGAGAGTTTCTGTACAGAGTAGTTGGTTAAAATCCCTCCTGAGATGCATAATAACCTGGTGACCGCCTACAGAAAATGCCTGAGTGCTGTGCTCACCAACAGAAGTTTCTTCGCCACGTTCTGAGTTCAGATTGGACAAGAAATGAAATATATTTCAATCAATAACATAGAAACGCTAATAACGTTTATGTGATGTACTTTCTCATAATTTCTGTTGATATTCTGTACATGAAATGACCATACTATGTACCGATAAAGTTTTTTGTTCCTAAGTAACCAACCTTGGATATTAACAGGGGATCAAATACTTATTCCCTTCACTATAAATCACGGTTTGCCGTCTTTGTAAGCATTTTGATATGTGGATTCCTTATGGAACGTTGTGCAGTGTTTTCTCAGAATCGATAAATGATTACCTTAAATTAAAAAAACAGACTAATCTGTCCAAGATTATCAATAGTTTTAAATCTTTAAATCTTTGAATGGATGCTAACAAGTAAGTGGTCAAGTCATTTCATAAAGTTTCAGATTTATATTGATTTCAACACTACATTCACACAGAGGTGAGTGTAAAATCCCCACCTGTATATTTATGTATGTTTCGTTTCATTCTGTTTTTTAGTTGTGCCTGATTTATTGGGATGTTTCTCATCATCCAGCTGAAAATAAGATCTAATATCCAGTCTTGTAATTTGTCAAAGTGTCCTTGAGGAAGACATTGAAAGCTATTGCTGCCTCCAAGAAGCTTACAGGTGGATAAATGAGGATTTGAACATTTTAATTATTGGCTGAAAAGACTTTCATAACAAAGTGCTGTGTCTGTTTAATCACATCTTCTAGAAAGTAGCAGCATACACAGCGCAACATCTGCTGCAGAGGGGATTCATGTGCATGGAGACTTTAGGACTTTAATGCCAAACAGAGCTGCCATAAGAGTTTCAAATTAAAAGAGGAAAGTCTTATTTGGAGCATTTTACACAGACAGTTTGAAAAGCTGAGACATGAGCAGTAGATGAGAGCCACAGTTTTAGTGGAAAATAGCAAATGGGCAAAAGGGATGTTAAACTGTTGTTTCCTTACTTAATTTTTCATCCAATAAAAACAAACGAGCTGAAAACCTTTTCATCCTTAAAACTGCTTACCTCCTGGGCTCCTCCGCAGAATGAATTTACGGACTTCATCGTAAACAAAAATGAGCAGGCTGTAGGGAAAGGCACAGAACCACCACAGAATCCTGAGAGCAATAGGAAAAATGGAGTCAGGGAGGAGGGAGGCGTACGCAAACAGCGAAGAGTCACAGGCAGAGTGCAAATCGTTAAACTCACTGCAGTCATTTCTGAATATTAAGGGGCTAACAAGGTGGTGTTTAAAAAGATCAGAGACTTCATCTGAAGTTGAGAGTAACAGGCTAATGGCAAGCTATTAGGTCTTCAAGGGGTTATTTTTCGGTTCAGTGGAGATGCGTGTATACGGTGCATACTTCATGGGGTACATGCGCAGGGCCACGTCCATCCCAGGGCAGTAAGAGAGGAAGGCAGCCAGGGACGTCTCTACAAACAGGCCGAAGATCAGGATCCTGTTCCTGTTGCACACACGTCAGGAAATGTGTTAGAAATAGAAAAGACAAGAAGTACGTGCCACTAAGAACACAGCCTGAAATAAAACAACAAGAAGTTGGCGTAAAATTATCTTTTTTTTTTTTTTCTGGGCTGATTCCTTTTTTCCTTTTGCATAGTGAAGAAACATTTGCTTTCTTATTTTCCATCCTGTATTTTTACGTCAAGCACATTCAATTATGTCAATTGCCCTATAAGTTATTCTAGTAATAATAATGTCATCATGTTTTATTATTATTACTTATGTGCATGAATTCCTTGAAGGACAAAACGAACGTACAAGCAATTTTTCTGCACAAAGTAGGAGCTTGTTTTATGTACGCAATTCCTTAATATTTATGAAAAAATATTAGATATAAGTGAAATAATCTGCTGGTGAAACAAGCCATTTTCCCCATATTATCAGTGTCTTGTTCCACTGGATTATTACCTTTTCATCAAAATTAAGGCATCACTGACTTAAAACAAGCTCCTATATTTTCCTGAAAAGTTACTTCCAAGTTAGTTTTGTCTGATTTCAAGTTTACTAAGATATTTGCATGAGAAACTAGAAATAGAAAACTTGGTAATATTTTGTGTTTGTGCAGTGCGATATTGGTCCAATTAGTAAAACTAGGTCGATATTAAGAGATTATATTGATTTTCATTTATTTCCCATTCGTGTGTCAGGCAGTGGATGTCCAGTTTTGTTCATGTGACAAACACAGAAGCAAAGTCAAACCGACCATTTCCCAATGTTGTAAGGGTGGGGAAAGAGATATAATATCAAAACGTATTAATTATTGACCATAACAGCAATGCTGATACTAGATATCGATTTTAGCCCATATTTTCATGTCGTTACATCCCTACCAATAACAAAAAAAAAACAAAAACAAAAACAAAAAGACTACACAATGAAAACCAACATCCAGATCAGTAGGATTTCCAAAAATCAGTACTTTCCATTTATGTAAACATTTGTGGTTCACATGCTCTGTTTCTTTCATCGCAATGAAACCGATAACAGTTCTGATGATTACTTACTTCATGCCTTGCTGAAAGAGTGAATTCCTCCTGGTCTTGCAGATGATCACATCAGCCCACTGGACAACCACAATGCTGGCAAAGAAGGCTGTGTGGCAGGTGAACTCAATGATCTTCCTCTGTTCATACGTCTGCACAGTTGGAAAAGCAGGTTTTATTTGCTTTTATATGAGCAAATATTCATAAAGCCATGCTGGCGACTATGTGCTCCCGCCCCTTACCCACTGCTGCCCATAGCTGTCCTCCAGGTCATTGAATTCACGGTCATCCCAGCTGATGCGGATGCCCAGCAGGTCTTTAGGGAGGAAGCCATTTTCAGCCAAGATCACAAAGTAGGTGAAAAATCCGGCCAGAGCCTGGATCATACCTAGGGGGAAGAATAAACACTTCTTAATAAGGCACCAAAACTAATATATGTTAGTTACAACTAACTAAAACTATAGTTTTTTTTTTTTTTCCTAGTATTTCATTTTCTGGGTATATATGATTGTAAATCTGTGTTTAATACCCCTTTACAGCAACAGATAGACTGTAATGTAAAGAAAATAGAGACAAATGTCATGTCATGTTAGCATAGAAAATTCATTTATTGTCCATTAGTTGCTCCAAACACAATTCATCATGATTAATATGGTTGTCTCCAGGTTTCTCACAAGTCTGTCAGAAATTAAAATCATCTATTTCTATTCACAATTTATATTCTGTCAGGTTGTATTGACCTGTATGGAAAACACCGGAGGAAATTTGCAGAAATGTCTTTTGCACTGTTTGTTTTAATCATTTCTGTTCTGCTGCGGCTTAAAGGTGCCAACTGATTAAAGTTATTTTTTAATTACTGGTCAACTGCACTTACAGCAGCTGGTATATTTACAATATTTACAATGTACATATGAACAGTGCAATATTCAAACTGCTTACATTTTGTCACATTAGAATCAAAATCTTCATTTATTAGGATTTTATGTGATAAACCAACACAAACTTCTTAACTGTGTCGCGATTACCACATTTTTGCAAGTAAAAATCTAGAAAATGTGGTGTGTGTTTGCATGTTGCCCCCTCAGGCAGTGCTAAGGGGGGCTACAGAACCCATTTTAAATTGCAACTGCAGCTGGAAGCTTTTTTGGTGTATTCCTCAACCAGCTTTCTACATTTAGAGTCTTTTCCCATGTTCCTCAAGCTTTGGCAGAAGGGAGAATGTCTGTGAACATTAAATTTCAAGTCCAGTCAAAAGTTCTCAACTAGACCTGTTCTAGGCCAGTGGTTCCCAACTCTGACAATGAAAGCTCACAGATTGTGCAATGGCCACATTTTCATGCACTGAGTTTACATCTCGCTGCGTGAGAAAGTTTATGCTTACGTCCTGCTGTGATGATCAGTTAATGACTCAAACTGATTAAATGCTGTTGATTTGGTTAAATACTTTCAAACCTGGAACAACAGGAGGTTGGAGGTGTGAGCTCATCAGTTATGCTGCAGAACTAAATTCAGGACCCATTTCAATTTATGTTCCACAGTTCCTCACATTTCTGTACTTTCTGTACTCCTGTAAAAGGAGTCAAAAATATAAAGCATGCAAAATTTGGAAGAAAATTGAGTCCCTGGAAAATGAGTATTGAAACAAGCAGTGCAGGAAAATCCAGCATTTAATGTGAGTTAATTTATTCTGAGTCTTATGGTAAGAAATAAATTGTTCTCACAAAAACACCAGTGCTACTATAATTGCCACCTCAACTAAATGTGATCAATGAAATGTAATTTATTTGAAAATAATATTTTTAATTGTGTTCTGTTTCCTTGTGGTGTGAATTATATATGACAGAAGATTATTTTCATTAGCCAGTTTTTAAAATGGAGCAGACAATCCGACAACTGTTAGGTATGGTAAAGGTCTTATGATGCTGTGGGCTTGTTTCTCTTACAAACATCCTTGTCAAAATCATGACATCTCTGAAGGACATTTCAAATAAAAATCTGTTGGTCTCTGCCACAAACTGAAATGGATGATCATTGGTTTCCAAAGCAGGATAATTATCCAAACATCTGGACAAATCAGTTTAAACAACCGTCTTCCATAACCATCTCAGTTTCCCAGATCTAAATCCTGTAGAAAACCTGAATCATGCAAGAGCCTTCCCTCTATGTAGCCCAAATTTGTGGTATTTTATAGAAAAATACGTGGTTTCCCTTTCGAATGTCAAAGACTACTAACTGTGTACGCTTGATTTTATTTGAAATTATATTTCTTAACATTTGTTTTTCCCCATCAGAATAAATGTACATATATTACAGGTTGGCTATTTCAATTTTTCAGTTTGAGATTAAGCTGCTTAGGCTTTTTCTACCAAGGTTGCAAAGAGAACAGATGATGCAGTAAGTTATTTTATTATAAATGATACCAACAAAACCAGCTATCTGGGGAGACAGGACTCTGGTGTTGACTCTTTGTTGACTAAGCTGGAATTCAATAATATGAGTATCGGGTCTTCATATCATAGTGTTTTTATCTAGCTCACATTGTTTGACAGAGATAAAAGTGACATCAAACACACACAAAAAAAGGCTGTGTAAAGTTTTAAGAATCCCTACTTCCAAAAACTGCTTTATCACTGTCAAATCCATATTGAGCCATTAATCACTCCAGACAATCATGTAAATCATTTCCCATCTGTCGTATGACAGCACAGTATAACAACTGAGCCGGTGTTATTAAGGAGCATTTAGGAGAAGAAACATGCCAAACGGGCCTGTACAAAAAGGCTCGGATCTCTAAACAGTTTATATTTTCAGGCTGTAATGGTTGTGAGCATCTCTGTCTTCAGCCTTCTAAATGTTGCTTTTTGGGGGGAGTAATGCTGAATCAGACAGCTGACGGCTGCAATATTAGGAGATAGGCTGTTATATTTTCAACGGGAGGCCTTGACATCGTATTTCAGACACTGAACCTAACTGACTGGCTGTCTGACAGAGAGCCGAGATGATGGTTATTAATCTGTGTTCGATATGTGGGTAAATAACTCCCTGCATAAGGGCTGTTTCTGAAAAGCAAGATGCAGTTGCTTTTAATATTTGTGTCCTGAATCTTGACAGCTTCGGCAACTGGCTGCCTTGCTGTGTCAGTGACAGATTTGTTTTGAAAAGGGAAAATATATCATTTTCCAAACTTTGCTAAATTAATGGTGCAACGCTGCTAATAATGGACTGAATGGTGGTGCAGTTGTTAGAACTGTGGTCATTCAGCAAGAAGGTCATTGATCTCTGCTGGAGACAGTAAATAATCAATGGATGGATGGATAGTCAATAATTGTAAGACATTCTGAACTTTCTCCATATAAAGGATTAAACAATGCTGCATGCACATTTAATCACCTGTTAAGTCAAGCTGACAGATTTCAGATGTAAAATTCTGCCACATGTGAACTGCACAGGCATACACACATGTAAGTTGCACACTTAAATATTGCAGCAATAACCCAATAATAACGTTACTTCCTTACTCTGGCACTGTGCTATCTAGAGACTTCACTCATGTCGGTATGCTGGATGCTTGAAAAGTGAATTTAAACTGAATACATTTGGTTTGTAATCATGTCACAAGTTACAGAAGCTCATAAAGTAGATGTGTGCAACCTTTACAGTCCAAAGAGACACTTTTTACCTTCACTACAGCTAAAAGATCTTGTTTACATGACCTTTTAAAAATGACAACTTCTCATTTTTGATGGATACCAACTTGAAAGACTTGGCTTCATATTTGAAAAGTCAACATTTTAGTTCTATTAAAAATACCAACATAAGACGTTTGCGAACATAAAACAGATTAATTGTCTTCTAAAGAATGTTATTTGTAGAAATTTTGTAAGAAGGAAAAAATAAAATAAAAAAGCACATAGTTTCCAAGTTATGCCAATAAAAGTTACATTTTTTGGCAAATTCAAAACCTTTACGTTGTTGTTATTGTATCCATATTTGAGTTTGTTGATTTTTTTTTTTTTTTTATCATCTTAGTCAAAGTTATAAAGAACCATTGTGGAAGATCCAAAAGCAACTTGCAGGTCGCAGACCCCTGCCATAGAGCATTAAGACTTAATCAGGTTTTAATTCCTTAGCAGTTATAAGAAACAATTAAAAAAGATGGTAACGTTACAACAAAAACAGCATAGTCAGTCATGATGTTAACAAATATCATAAACTCCAAATATTGGTCCCTAATACAGTATTCAGAAGAAATGCATCAATAAAGAGACTCATTTCTAAGACATGACTAGATGATCCACAAACATTACTTCATTTCTTCATTCTCAGACCCATGAAACTGTCCTTTCAAAAGGCCCGCCTCCTGGATTTGATTGGCTGTTTCTAGAAAGTACTGGGAGCATTGGGAGCAGGCAGAGGAGCTTGATTTTTATCACAGACTATCTGTCTCACACCATACTGCCACTACATAGAGACAACAAATGTGTTATAAAAGTTGCAAATTGCAGCTTTAAATGTGCTACATAAATGAATTAGATTTGATTTGGTAGATTCTGACAATGTTCATTTTGTTAATTCTGCTTATGTACTTGTTAGGTGTCACCTTCGCGCACCTCTTCAGTTAAACATTTAAATCCGCCTGTCCTCCAGCTACATAGGTCTTTAATAAATGTGATCTGCTGTGTCTTGCAAACCTTTCCACCTTCATTTTACGGGAATTAATGCCCAGAATTGATGCTGGTTGTCGGCTGTTCTGAGCTCATTCAGTTTTAAGTGAAGCCCTGTCATATTTTTGCCCTATTTAACAGCGTATGAAATTGGGCCAGCCTTTGATCCTTCACAATTCCCAAACCAAATAAAACCAGAGATAAGAAGCACGTGTTCAAGAGAGGCGCCAACCAGTAAAACATGACCAAGATTAAGTTGTGCTAATAGCTGCACTTGCCTCTCTCAATTTGCTGTAAATGTCACAAGAATTGCAAGAAAACCAAGGAAATGTCTGCTCACCTCTGGTTCTATTTCTATAACCGCACCTAACTAAACATTTACAGGCACCAGAATTTATGATAAATGTCGGTATTTAAGTTTTTATGACAGAAATGTTTATTATCTCTATAAAGTCAATACAAGAGGCCTGTCACAGTGATTTAGGTTTAAGATCTGCTAGTGAGAAGGCTTATAGATTCGGGAGAACAGACCTATCTGTCCGTACGCCATGCTGATGAGGCGTTCATTGACCAGCTTGTCTGTTTTCGGATTTCTTGGTTGGCGCTTCATAATGTCACTTTCAGCCGACTCATAAGCTAAGGAGATTGCAGGGACCTGCAGGAACAAGGGAGAAAAGAGCTTACTTTACATCAGAACAATAAACATGCAGGGATTTGTTGTTGCTGCATTCTTAAAAAGGCAGGTTGGACCAGACTTAATGCTGATATGATCATGCAATCACTGTGCAGCGGGAGAGGAAGCGAGAGGGCAAAAGCAGAGGAAAGAGGAAGCAACGACAATTTCACAGGGAGGTTTGGATGAGATGAATTTCGGGACATTCATAAAACAAAAGGGTAAAAAGGTTCCTGTAATAAAGATCTCATATTGGCTGGGTTTACTAGGTGAGCAACAGAGCAATATGTTTGACTTAGGGAAGGAAATCTCCAGGATTTAGGTGGGATTTGAGGTGGGGACTTGGCAGTGCTCGAAACTGAGCACACGTCCTGTGTTGTCTGCAAATCCAGTTTGTTTTGGTGTTGCTCTCCTCTGACCTGCAGCAGTGGAGGAAGCTGGAACAAAATGTCTGACAGATATTTTTCTAATGTCTATATATGCTTTTGAAAGAGCACATGAAACGATGTTCAGTCTTCAAATGTCTCTCATACGGCGTCCCTAAGCATGAAGACAAACATCCTGATTCGGCCGCTCTTTCCCTTGCTTGCTAAAAATAATCAGAGCAGACTCCATGTGCTGGTTGCCGCTGCAAAATCTCTGCAGAGTCCTTGAGCCTGTAGCCAGGAGTTGCTCTGAGCTGTAAACAAGCTGTTAACACTATTACTGGCAGACACGGGAAATCAGTGATTTTAACTGTGCACTTCAGCATGAACACTTTTTCAACTCCTCTGCATGAAGATGTTCTTTTTTCATGTTGCTTCAAAATATCCAGATGTTCATTCCCCATTACTTAGAGATGTCAATGTAAATGTTTGTTTTGTTTAATATAATAATGTTGATCATATTAACAGTATCCAGTATCCATTATTCCAAGCCTAAAGGAAAATCAGAGCAATGGGAAGACAGCAAACTTTGCAAAACAATTAATATTTCTTGGACCTTTTCCTCATTTTGTCACATCATAATGAGAAATTTCAATATATTAGGGTTTTATGAGGTTTTATGAGCACAAAGTAGCACACAAACAAAATACAGCTTTTATCTTTTTACAAGGAAAACTCGAAAATAAATTGGCCACTCACTCATCCACTTTATTCTGTTACTCTTTAATAAAATCTGGTGAGCCAATTACTTCAAGATCACATCTGGTAAGAAAATGGAGACCACTTGTGTGCCATTAGATTTAATTCCCTTTTGGATAAACTAAGTAATTTTGAACTGAATTAATTCAGATTTTCTGTGAAAACGAGGTTTGTTAGAGAACATTAAGGAACAAAGAGCTTCCAAACAAGTCAGGGATATCCATTGCTAGATTATGAAACAAATAAACTAACAAAATGGTTTAGGTCAATGCAATGGTAGAGTTATAATCCAACAAACCTGCAGCTGTAACCACAGCAATACGTGGCTCAACTAACTACACCTTTTCTATATTTGCAAACAAAATTTGGTAAAATCATGTATCCTTACTCCAGGATTATGCTCCACAATGTGTTTGTTTATTATATAAAATCTAAAAAATAATGAGAAGACATCTCAAGTTATCACTGTGGATAGGTACCAACTCCTACTGCAGCCCTGCAAGGGCAGCAGGTATAGATGATGGATGGAGACACTTTTTAGAAATGTGACAAAATATGAAAAAGTATTTTAAAAAAAGGATTATTTCCCAAGATTATTTCCTAAAGCTTGTCTTCAGTTTCCAGTGCGAAACTATAAAACATCTACCTACTGACTTTTAACTCCAGCTTTATAGGATGCACCATTTTCTACTGCCTACTGGTGTTTTGATGGCTGACAAAACGCAAAAATTAAAGTAATGCGCACAAAAGTCCCTCTGAATTTTTCATTCTGCGATTCCTTTCTTTCTGTAATGATGGATTACGCCCCTCAGGCAAGCAGCATGCCAGCAACTCTTTTTATTGCAACTGGAAATACAAAGCAGAGACTGGCATCTGGAAATGGCAGGCATGTGAAAAGTAAATCTGCATGTGAGTGTCACCCGGCCTTTGTTCTGCTCGAACAAATGGACGTCGGCAAAAAGCCAAAAGCAAATTTCCCCCACTGATAGAAAGAGCAAATTAAACCAAACAGTTGCTCTTTTTGTACCTCCAGGCTCTCATATTTGACACTGGTAACACAATTTCCCTTAATGTCACCTTTACCTTGCCCGTAGCTATGCAACATGCTTACAATTAGCACCCTTTCAATGAGGAGAACTACTAAAATTAACCAAAAATTACAGGATAATTTAGTAAAAAGAGATAAATATGAAACATTATACTGGTTGTAATTATGCATTAGAGCAATAAAATTGCAATAAAGCCACAGTGAATGTTAAAAAAAGATTTGAAAACACTACATAGGCATAACTAGAGAAAAAATGAAACGTGTTTCAGACATAAACACCAGAGAAAAAAAAAAAAAAGATTACTGGCATCGCCGCACAAGAATTTTTTCCTTTGTTGCACTGCTCACCATGTCAGTGCCCAGGTCGATGCAGAGGATGGTGACAGTTCCCAGAGGAAGAGGAACACTGGCGATGATGAAGAGGAGGAAGGGCGAGATCTCTGGGATGTTGCTGGTTAATGTGTAAGCAATGGACTTCTTCAAGTTATCAAAGATGAGACGACCTGTGCACAAGCAGAGGGAGAAAGTTCTTTCTTTTTCTTCTAGAAATTATCTAAAAAAATGTTTTGATGTGTTAATATTAATAATGAAAATTCATGAAAAAAAAGCATGTACAATGGTTCTCCAAACTTTACACATCCACGTTAAAATGCCAGTTTTTTGAGACGGAACTATTATAAACCTTTTCTACCTTCACATGTCCTGCACAATTCAAAAGAAAAACAAACAAATCTGTTTTCATGTAAATGAAAAAGAGGAAAAATCTGGTTGCATACTGTGTGCTTTTCTCAACTTCACATCTTCCTTCAAATAAATCTGATGCAGCTGAAACAAATTCATCCTTTATGCTCAGATTTTTCTCGCACCTGCATATTTTACCAGTTAGCAAATTACAACCCTGGTCAAATGACTGAAAGAATCTCACAGTAGAAATGTATCAATCATAAAAGGAGTGAAGATGAGACATTACGGGACATAATAAAGACATCCAAGGTTAATTGGAAATAGGATAAAATAACATATTTATACTTTTAAGACTGTCATCTGAAAAATGGATGTAAGAGATGCATCAAAAAGCTGCCAGAAAGGCTGGCAAAGACAAACAGGAGCTGCAGGAATTTCTGTGAGAACAATCTGCTGTATTTTCCATCTCTGGACTACAGATTAGGACTTGCAAACATTTCACATTGAGGCTATAATAAGTCTTGAAATTATTTATCTTTCTACATTACAAGATGTGTCTTTTTAACAACGAAATATAGTGAATATTCTGAACCATCGTTCCCTAGTTTTCCTCTCCTTATTAAGGATAAAAAATCTACATACTTAACAATTCCCTTTTACTGTTTTATCAGCACAACCTCATTAGAAACAGATTTTCCTAGACCATATCAGGCAACCCAAGTTCAAGTAAACGGCTGTCACCCGAGGCAAGTCTCCAGTCCCATCTCATGCCTGTCAGTGTAACTCTCAAGTGAAATCCCAGAGTGCAGTGCCATGTCACATTACATCCTCTGAATACTGTTCAAATTACACAGAACCAAGAAGGCTTCTTTTTTATTCCATACTGAAAAGGTTTCTTTATTGACAACCCATCTTGGGGGATGTTTTTATAAAAATAAGAAAAATGTAAAAGTGTAAAGCAACGAATATGAGAGTTATTTAAAAAGCTCAACATTTGACTGAAAAATGAAAACGAAACAAACAGTTGTATCACTGCCATATTTTTTGAGTGGAGGTTGATTTTTTGTGTCATATTTGTTGCTGGATTCCTTTGAAAAAGTGGTTTTTAATCTGAATGAGTTTTTATAAAGGTAGAATAAAAATAAAAATAAAAAAAACCACGTGTATTAAATTCTTAAGTTTTGATATAATAAGACTACTTTGAACAATGTGGGAATGCCTAAATGATGTCTTGGCTTTTCAAGCTTCTTAATTCACAACATTTAGGTTAACACAGGCACATCTGTGGATGTATTTCAAGGCAAAACCTCAAATGCACTGTTTCCCATAAAAAAATAAAAAAATTAAAAAAAATCGAGCAAGAAATCAAAAACCTACAGGTCTACGATCTAATTTTGTGTTAAACTTCTCAGCAAGCTTTTCCTTCATCTTTGTGGTGTGTTGCTTAGGGAATATTGCTCCCTAATATTCTCTAATAAACCTATGAGACCCTTACAGAAGTTAATTTAAACATCGGTGAACAATTAAGTCTCCTGTTGTGGCAGATGTCCATTTACAGTAATCCAGGTTCTGCTGGAGGTTTCTTCCTGTTAAAGGGAAGTTTTTCTCTCCACTGTTGCTACATGCATGCTTGATTTGAGGGACACATGTAGAGTCAACGACACAGCGCAGGTGATTTTCTAATGTTCTCATCCAGCAGGAATAAATGATGCAAATCAATGGCTTGATGCAATCTATAGAAACTAATTTAAATAATTAACTGAGTTTGCTATATTTCTTAATATGTAGTATCAATTGAAATGTATGTGTGATTGAATTTAAATAATTTTTTCTTTTGTAAGGAGACAACATTTGTTGTGAACTGGTGTTGAATACACACACTGGACTGAATTTAATTTAATTTGTTTCACTGGATGATTTTTCAGGGCATTAGGTTAAAGGGAGCTAAATATAAACTTTCTTCTTTTCTTTTTTTGTACAAGCATATGTTTCTCTTCTAAATTATAAGTCTCCACAGTGTTTTCCTGGTCTGTCAGATAAACTGCCAGCAAAATACATTTAAGGTTGTAGTAGTAAAATGAAACAATGAAATATGAATATTAAAGTTATGGATAGCTGTCCCATTCACTGTATGTGCAGCCTCGATATGTAAAGTTTATTGTTCAGCATAGTCAGACTCTAATCCTCCAATTTTTGATGTTTCTGGTCCAGCAAACTTGATTCAAAGGGTTTATATTGCTTCTTCAGCATGCCATCAAATTCTGCAGAGTCCTGCTGATGACCTAATTCTCTAAGTTAGGTGTGTTGAGACACAGTTAAAAGTTGGAGGACACTGACTCACAAGGCCGAGAGTTTATATATAGAACATATACTGTAAATTCTATTAGAAATCAGGATAATTTCCATCCATAAAACCTTTTATAGTTAGAAAAAAATGATCTCATGTCGCATGGTTCTTTCTTTCCAAGTGTTTTCTGCCTGACTTTTCTTTTGTCCGCCATCTTTGTTTTGTTTTGTTTTTGTATTCTTTCATCGTCTCACTGCCTCGCACTCACCCTCCTCCACTCCGGTAACGATGGAGGCAAAGTTGTCATCCAGCAGGATCATGTCAGCTGCCTGCTTGGACACATCAGAACCGGCAATCCCCATGGCAACGCCGATGTCTGCCTTCTTCAAAGCCGGTGAGTCGTTCACTCCATCCCCCGTCACAGCCACGATGGCCCCCTGTGCCCGTAAGAAAAAACAAAAACTGTCAAGAGGAGAAAGATAAGTACTGTGATTTAAGTTTCCCCCCCTCCCATCACCAGCTGCACTGCCCTTCCCCCTCTGTCTTAATAATGTCTTTTCACAGCAGCTCTGGGGAGATTAATAAAAAAAATTTAAATAGAGTAGCAATCATTCAGTCACATGGCGCCAGAATGAGTGAGTCGGGGTGAATTGTTGCATGACCTCAATACATGAGTGCAATACAGAGATCTAATATTCTTTCTGAGCATAAAAGCAGAGTTTTATCTGGGAGTTTAAGATACTGGTAATAATAAACGCTACAGAGGCATACTTGTTTTAAAGCCATATGCTCACAAACAAGCCCCTGTTGCAGGAACTCTCACGTACATGCAGAGGCACGCACAGAACCGCGCATTCATCCATTGAACCACCTGGACAAACAAAAAGCTCAAGAACACTCAAACAAACACACATAGAAAGCCGCATTCAGCAGTAAATGGCAAGGACACACAAACACTCTCACTTACACACACCTTTATTCAAGCACAGCGCCACACTTAGACGTCAATGGCAACATTCATGCGCCCGTTCTCTTCTGGGTTTATCATAAGACACACATGCTTGCATTCAGCCACATGAACCAGCTTACTAAATTCCAGATGAATGCTTCCTGGAAAAGAGCCGACCACACGCTCACACACACTTCTGACCCACTGACCTGTCTCTGGCAGCCCTCCACGATGATGAGCTTCTGCTGAGGAGAGGTGCGAGCGAAAACAATCTCAGTGTGGTTCCTTAGCAGGTCGTCCAGATACTCGTAGCTCATGTCCTTTAAGTCTGAGCCGTGCACCACACAAGCCTTGGCATCCCTGTGAATAGCAAACACATGAACAAAAACACCATGGAGTCACGATACCAAGCTAGGAAGGGGGCGATCTGACATTTTCTTGCCTGGCCACTGAATGTGTCAACTAACACACACACACACACACACACACACACACAATGTCTACAGGATTTTCTCTGAAAAGGCAGAATTTAAAAGGGCGGTTTTATGTAAAATAACCTTTTTTCAGTTTTACATCATGCTACAATGTTATTCAGTCATCAAAAACATTTCTGGAGTGTTGACTTGATTCTTTCATACATGCTTGAGAAATCCTTTAATCTCCCATGGCAACCATTTGGATGTGTAAAACGCTTGGGAGAGCCAAGCACTGCCTCTCTCAGTCAGCTCCTTCAGACTAGCAGCAGCAATTAGCAAACACCTGGCGGCATCTGTGGAGCTGATTATATGAACTATTTCTCCGTCCAACGATCCGGCGGATGTTTGTAAACTCGCATTAGAGGAATGCTGATATGAAGGTAGATTGTTGGAAAAGCAGGGACTTCTTAAAGAGACGGAAGCCCAATTTCAAGGCGCTGAATTACAAAGGCAAGTTTCTTTTTAGCCATGTTCCATATATAAAACATTTTTGTAACAACTTAAGTAACAATACTTGATTGGGCTGTGAAATTCTACTATGTGGTTGGAAAACACACAATACTTCTTAAAGCATTTAGTCATTTCAAAAGCAGAATGCCTGCATCGCAGCCAGAACTTTGTGTTTATTTCCTGGCTGATGAAGGGGTCAAAAAGAATTACCATTCACATGTTTAACACTATACAGCAGGATACATACAGTAAACATCTATAGTAAGGTAAAAGCTTAATTACAAATTTGATATTCAGTTTCATCATTTGAAATATTTTCTTTAATGTCTAGTCTTCCAGTCAGTGTAGATGTGTGTGTGTGTGTGTGTGTGTGTGTGTGTGTGTGTGTGTGTGTGTGTGTTCAGTTTATATTCCAGTCCTGACAAAAACATGTAGAAGTTTCTCTCCCACATAAATCAAAATGATTCCTATAGAACAAAACGCCCCCATTTTCATTAACATTTCATAATTATTTAGTTTAATCCCTTCTTTGTACAAAAACCAAAGGAATAAGACAAGGAGCTCCGTGTTATAATTATTTTCTTGACAGACTATATAAACCTCTCTGTAGGAGTCTTTTAATCAACTTTATTGTCATTTTGACATTGTTTCCACATCAAATGCATGTCTATACAGCCTGAGATTGACAAGTTTCACTTTTGTCCTCCGAATTAGTTTTTTTCTCCCACTCATATAAACACAACCAGATTTTTTTCAATCCAGTTAACTAGCATCTAACTTGAAGAGTCTTCCCATCTGACTCTTGAATGATAATATTTGCCGGCCGTTTCTTTAAGCACACACTCCGTCTGGGACACACATCCCAGGGACAGTCCGCTGCTCACATCCTGAACGGCTCAAACAATCTCACAGTGGGTTGCCCCTCGACGCTTGAGCACACAACCACAACCTGCCCTGACACACAGACACACCTGGGGTTAACCTGGCTCAGAGGGATGATCAGTCTCTCAGCGATGTCCTCAACCGTCTCGTTGCCCTCAGAGATGATGCCCACCCCTTTGGCAATGGCCTTGGCTGTGATGGGGTGGTCCCCGGTTACCATGATGACCTGTTTAAGGACAGAAAGCCCCATAAATCGGGAATCTTACTGCGCTGGATAATCATAGGTGTCATGTGTCACAGCAGCATGGTTGAGCTGCATCATAACATGGACAATATTTTACACAAATCTGCTTACACTAAAAAAGATTGATGCTATTAAAAGTAGTGATTAATATAATGCAAAAACAAATAGAAACAAATCCATGAAGCAAAACAAATGGGGCTTTTGGTCATTGAACTCTGCAGAGGTCAAGCTGGTAGCTTCAGAAATACTCAGTTTTGGGTTTACTTAGTGTGACTTCAGCTGTTCTCTAAAAGGAAAGTGACTCCAGAAGAATAAAAGCAACATTTTAATTGGTCTAATTATTGTTTGGACTCCAGTGCGATGGAAATGTTGTTGAAGAACCTGCAGTGAAAAGGAAATGTTGCAAGACTAATTAACTTTTACCCCAAATGTTGAGTTGCAATTATTCCTGCACAGCAAAAACAGTTTTCTACATACTAAACTTACATAAGAATTATTTTAAGTTTTACTCATAACATCTGGAAAGTAAATGAATCACATGTGCATATTTATAAACTTACATAAGAACCATGAACAGACACAAGACTAAACATATTTTAAAAAGCCTCAGTCAGTACAAAGCTGACATTTTACAATAAAGGTTAAATCTCTTTTGCTGAATGAACTCCAGCTACTTTCACCTTCACATTCTTCTGCCTCCAGTACTTTTTTAAGACAATTATTGTGTGTCTTTCAAAAATTCATTATCGAGAGGAAGCACGATAAGCACCTAAAATTAAATGTGTGAAATCCCTTTTCCGCATCTGTAGTTGTTGCCTTGAATTAGAACAGCTTTTTCTGCTCGTTATCCAATTTCTATCTCTGCTGGCAGTTTGTTAACCTTCCTTTGGCCGAGCTTATTATTTTTCTGGCAAAGCATTTCCTCTGTGTGCATTTGCTGCTGATTAAAAATGCCATTAATCTGCACTTTACCAGATATAGATTTTGACAAACTGCTTTCGTAATAAACTGATACCTTTTCTTTATTACCTTTCATGCTTTTAATTTGTACATGAGAAAATACATATTTGGTTATTTTGTAATTTCTAAACCTCATCTCACTCATTGCCCTCCTAAAAACTAAGATTTTTTTCCTATGGTTTGTTCTCTAAAGAAGGAAAAATGGGCAGAAGCATTTTAATGCCACTGTTATGGCATGAGCTTTTTCTGTACAACGAACTTTGTTTGTCCACAGGTCATCATCGATCGTGGCCCTGGAGGCGATCTCTTGTCATTTGAAGTACACGCTGTGATGTGAAAAGACATTTAATGTGCAGTATTCCTTTCTAAAAAGCTTGATATCTAAAGCCACAGGAAAGGGCTTCTCAGGAACAAAATTGACAGCTGAAAACGGTGCAACCAATTACCTTGATGCCAGCGGAGCGGCATTTACCCACAGCGTCGGGCACAGCGGCACGCGGCGGATCAATCATGGAGATGAGACCCAGAAAGCAGAGCTGCTCCGTGGGGAAGTTTGTGTAGTCGCAGTCGAAGGTGAATCCTCGAGGAAACTGGGATGGAGACAGATTCAAGTGGCAGAATCCTGCAGGAGAAGGGGGATCAGGGAGCTGATTGCACATCATGGACTGAATTTACTGCAGCTCTTTAAAAAAAAAAAAAAAAAAGAAAAGTCTTCCTGTAAAAGAGACTATTTTTATGGCTGCCGTCACTCTTATTTTCTCCAGAAGCGCTAAGAAAATTACCAATTTTAATATTGGTTTTATGATCAATACAAAAAAAAATCTACCTGAAGAATCAATTCCACATTTCCAAAATTAAATTGGAAATGAAAAGGACTGAAAAATCTTTTTTTGGCACTTTTACAATTGCTCTTGTTATTGTATATATTAGAAAAGGCAAGGATTTCCTTAAATCATTTGGCAAAAAACTTCTTAAATTAATGTGAAAGGATGGAGAGTTGAAAGCTCCGTAAGTTCCAGTCTGTTCTCTGCTTATTCCAAAGTCAATTTCCTCAAACTTTAACCAATCATGTTTCATCATCTGACCCACCCGCAGGTGGAAACCAACCAACCATGATGAGGAGACGCCCCTCTCCAATCTACAATGACCTTAGAAAAGCAGGTTTTATTGATAAAATATGATCCTAATTTTTTACATAAATTATGTAAAAAATTTTAAGAAGCAAACAAAAAAAACTTTAATTTTTGCTGTGGAAGTGAAAGTTGTAAAGTTGCCCATTTGTATTAGAAATGACTATGATTATAAAAATACAATCTTTTCCAATTACCATCTCATTTCCCCAAAACGTCAAGGCAAAACAAAGTGGTTCTGATGTGAAGCCAGATCCAGCCCAAGGATGTAGGAAACATGGTTTCTTTTTTTGTCTTGAAACACAAAAACCCATGATCATCATCACCCCAGGCATTACCAAGACACAATAATTTACGATTCCCAGAGTCTTGCTCTAAAAGAGGCAACGTTCCACATTCAGCTGCGGTGACATCTACTCTTACAAAATGATGATAGCACATAATTATTACCTATGGCACTTTTTAAAAGATTCGCCAAGGTTTCTCCTCTGCTGTCACAATGCTGACATTTACTGAGTCAGAGCAGAGAACATGTTGGAGACAGTTAAGGTAATGACTTTTTACCCAAAAAGGTGTCTGACATTTTACAAGAGAAAATATAATTTTACAACATTATGTTATATTTTAGACTTGGATTTGACCCGGGTTGACTTACATAACCCAATTTCTAGTGCAGCTCTTCCAAAACTTCATAGTAAATCTGCAAAAAAAAACATTTCACTAACGGATCTGGAAGGAAGTTTTATAAACGCAGGTCATTTTTGTCCTGTTTCCTGCTGGTTTTCTGTGCCAGACTGCAGTGCCATTTTCTTTGTTGCAAGGATAGCAGCCTGCACTTTTATGGGGACATTTTCAGCAAACTACCCTGTTTACCAAGAAGATAATAAAAAGTAAGTGCTGTGTCCAACTGCTGCTCCTCTCCACCTATTACCAGACACACATCCACTCATGCCATGCAGCACACACCCAGCACTCTTTCTCCCAGTCCGCCCAGCTCCAGGTAGGCGTTCTGAAAGGCATCTCTCCAGTTTTCATCAAGGGGTTCCTCCTGGCCGTGCATCATGATGGTGCTGCACCTGCAACATTTAACGGCAGACTTAGCGCCACTCCCATGTACAGAAAAGTCCAGTTGGGAAAAATGTGTCAACTATTTTTCAGACGGCGTTAAAATGGGAATGTACACCTTCAGAAATTATTTACATTACAATTTTTTACATTCTAAAACACTGTGTTTTTATAACTAACAATTTATAGTATGCAATCTTCTTTTTGTTATTATATAAGACTAAAAATGTCAAAGATATATGACCTAATGATGAAACAATGTGTGAAATAGTTAATTATTATACTTGGTTAGTTAATTGCCACCAATATTCTGCATTATTTAAATAGCTAATACAGTGGAGCCCATCTATCCACAGTTCAGTATTTATGCTTTACCTACTGGAAGATTTATTTGGTGAAAACGTCACTATTCTCAGTTTTTATTTCTAATAGAGTGTTATTGTAACTTGGTAAGCTGAAATATCCAGATTCTACCTGACAATGAAGTTTCCAAGAAGGGACAGAACTAAGTAAATGACATGGTTACTTAAATGCAGCATGAAATAAATGTTTAATAAAAGTTTAGATAATTTATTCAGTAGGCAGTTGATTTATTAAATATGTCATTAAACTGTTAAAATTCAAACTTGTAATAGCCGGTGCAGATGAATAATTAAATGTGTATTTAATTATTTTATGGTTCCTGTTCCTGCAGCTTCACTATAAAATCATTTTTTTCTGTCAAACTCGTCCATCAAAGTCGCTGATCTGCTGAACTCCACTAGTTTACGTCCCAGTTTGTGAAACTTCGATCAAATGTGATTTCAATGCTTTTTATGCATCTGGACACACTGGACCATATATAAGTCTGCATTTTAATCATTTAATATCGTATAACAAATAAACTGTCTATCAAGTAAATTATTGAAACATTTATTTATTTTATTGATCTATTTATTTACTTAGTACTTGACATGCTGTGAATTTGCATTTGCCTTTTGTGCATATTAATGCATTTTAATGTATATTCAGTATTTGGATAATCAAAATAAGCAGTTATAAACATTTTTAGAGGGGGGCTCAAATAGCAGGGGTCCTCTGGAGTATGGCATGGTGATAATTAATTAAATAGACATTGTTAAGTTAACAGTTAATTAACTACTGCTTGATTAGATTTAACGTAAATGTTAATTATTACTTTTGGCCATTTAATTTGATCATATGTTGTTGAATAGCAAACATTAGGATAATGGTTAATTGACCATGAACTAGTTAAAATGTAATGCAAAAAAGACAGAAAAGAAAAAAAGAAACTGTTTATTTAATGGTCATCTCAGTACTGACTGATCAAATCAATAGGTATAATGTTTGGATAATAATTAGTAAATATCTTAAGGGTTAGTCAGTCACTGTCAATTTCTCATTAGTGAGTGTAAATTTGGTTTAAACTTTTAATTCGAACGAGTTTTAAAACACTCTGTAGCATAACAATAATTCAAAGTGATATGAGAAACTCATTTATGAAGATTGGTGTCTGTATTTTGTCTTAGATTAGTGACAGACAGCTGCTGGTTGGACCTGTGCATCCTAATTCCAGCTCGGCAGCAGCCCAGGCTGTAGGAGGTGGGGTGATATTTCACTTTAGTATGAGGGCGTGTTGCATTTGCTGTGGATTACTTCCACCAGCAGATTAATTTACATCTGTTGCTGCTGTGACACTTTACAGCGGCCCGGATGGTGTGTGTAAGATTAAATCTGAAAAAACTGCGGAGTGTGTGTCAATGCTGATGAAGGACTGTGTCACTGTATTCAACAGAGGAGCCGCCTGGCCTTGTTTTAATACGTTAAGACAACACTGGAAGTTTAAAGCTCCAGTGACTTCTATGTATGAAGGTGCATTTTTACAGGCATTGCTTTTTATTTATTTATTTATTTATTTGTTCGCCTACACAAGAAATGAAAATTATCAAGTATCTGCCATGCACAACGAAATGGTAAGCAAAACACTATTTCCATTGCTATTAAATTATTGGTAAGCAAACCTGTCCAGGATTCTCTCCGGCGCTCCCTTCATCACCAGAAGATGACCAGAGGGATTGTCCTCCACTTCGTGGATGGAGAGCTTAAGGAAAGATAAGGATAACGATGTGATGTTTCAGAGAGAAACAGCTCTAGTCAGACATCTCCCTTTTCCTGTTGGGGAGCTGGTGTGGCAGTCTTCCACCTGATTTAAATGAAAGTGACATTGAAGCTGACTTGACAGAACGAACATTGAAAGTCTCCTCTGTTCACGCTGCGTCTGTTCAATCAGACTCTCACATGTGTTGTTGTTGTGATATACCTTCCTATTACCTTTTCTCCAACAGGACCCACCGCACAGTCCCCCAGATCATTTGTATCTGAGTCACAACAGATTTTGCTCCTTCCTAACACTTCTTATCTGCAGTCTGACAACAGGTGTAATAAAGCATGCAGGAAGTCCTTCCTTTGGTGAGACATCGCTGCTGTTCACACGCTGGCTCAGATCTTCTGGTGCTCTGGTTATTGGTGCAGTGACAGACATGAGCTGTAATTGCTACCATGCCCTTGAGCAAAACATAAAAAAGTCATTGTGTTTACTTTATTCAATATATTATTGACTATTTGCTACCCTGCTTGAATTTAACATGTCACATAATTGAGTATTTGGTCAAACTTATTCTAATCTTCATTAAAGTAATAAAAATTAAAATAAAAATGTTGTTAGAAGTGAATAAATGCATTATACTACAAAACACACAAAAAATTACAAGTGATTAATGTTTTTGAAAAAACTGATGTCAGACGAAAGTGATTTTTTAAGATAAAGCATTTGATTTCATTTCTTGTTTCATACGTTTTGAAATATAAAATTTTAAAACTACAGCTGTGCAGGTTTAAAGAAGCTACTTGATTGGTTACTAATAAGGTGAGTTTTTATATTTTAATGTAAAATAAGCCTGTACTGATGAGTCTGGATAGAAAATGGAGGGATGGGCTTCCAGGGAACAGAGTTTCTTTCTCATCACTTTTGCAAGTTGTGTGATTCCTGAGGGAATCGTTCACACTGAATTAAGACAATAAACTTCAGCCAGGACGGATCTCAGTGAGGCTTTCTACCGTATATAAAGACTGCAATGGGCTCCTGTTTGAAATAAGCAACTAATAACCCAAGAACTTATTAGTTATAAAACAACCCTGATGAGACGCGACGGAAAATAATCAATGAACTTTTCAGTTTGTATTGTTCGTCTGCAGCACTTTGATTTTTAGCAAAGTTGCATTGCTCTTCTTATTTTTGGATAATTTTCCTTTGTATTAATTTTCGTCTGTATCTGCACTCAGAATTTGGATGAAGGATTAAGGCCACCGAAAAAGAAAAGAAGAATTTGACTTTTTTACTCAGAATTATCATTTCAATCTCAAAATCTGAACTATTTTCTCAGGATTATCAGGATATCAGAAACTGATTTTAATATCAGAATTCTGACTTTAATCTCAATTTGACTTTTTTCTTATAATTGTCAGAAATCTGACATTTTTAATTGTCAGGATCTCAGGGTTTTGAGATCAAAGTCAGAATTCTTCTTCTTTTATTTTTTAAAAATTCTCCTCTTCCATACAAACCCACATTTCACAATTTTTTGGAAAATATTTTCAAAAATTTACATTTCAGAAATACACCTGTGGAAGTATTACAAATGCAAACAAATAAGTTTTCGCAAAAGACGGATTAGTCTATTTTAAAAATATATAATAGTATGTGCCAGATTTAAGAAAGGGATCAATTTTAATAACTTTTAGAGTTAAAGAGTTGGGGTAGGTTTGGTGGAGGAGGATCTTGAATGTTTTTTTGTGTTTTAAAGTTTAGATTTTAGGTAAATTGTATTCTCAATTTACCTAAAATTTAAATACAATGCAAAGTCCAAAGTATCAAACTGCCAACGGGATTTCCCTGCAGAAATCCTTGAATCGCCGTTGATGTTTACCTGGTACTTGTTGGTGGAGTTGAAGGGGATCTCACCCACTTTGGGATTTCTGGCTCTCATGTCACGAACACTGCCTGAACACAGCTCGATGCATTTCAGCAGGGCTGACTCTGACGCGTCCCCCGCTGTGTCCCTCTGGGGGAACACACAGGATCACATTAGCGCAGTCACTCATATCCGCATATTAAAAAATGACTCACGGTTTGTGTTTATGGCAAAGCAGCAGAGGGAAACTTTTCATAGTGTCTTATTTAATGGCTTAAATGAGACACCTTTGAAAACTTTGCTCATTTCCATTATGGCTCTCATCAGCGATGCAGGCGGCGAAGCTACGTCGACAACAACGATTTGGCCACAGGCTTGTTTTTAAAGATATAGCAAAACGTTCGCAATAAACCTAGATCTGAAAATACAGACAAAATAATAAACTGACTAAAAAAAGTTCACAGATAAAACATAATGCATGATATTTTATGTCTCTCTCTCTCAAGCTCAGTTTTTAATATTTTGGATATTAGAAAGGCTTGGTTTTAATAGGTTCCGATGATGGATAAATGCTGCTTGAGTAATGAGTCAGATCATTATTACAAACAGCTGAGTTATTAACCGTCGTGACCTGAAGGGACTAGAATCCCATCAGTTGTTCTTTTGACCCAGTCCTCCAAACATCATGCCTCACTAAAGTACACTCCTTTAACATTTTCACATTTTGACACGTTACAACCACAAACAGACATACATGTTTTATTTGGAGGGTCTTTTTGTGATATATCAACAAAAAGTAGTCAATAACTGTGATTTGGAAGGAAAATAGCACATGGAGATCATTTCTAATTTTTATCACTTTACCTTTTTAATCTGCTAATAGTGACAATTTTTTTCATTTAGCGCTTTAGCTAATTGTGAAAACATTTAGGACAATTAGCTTCCCATAAATTAATATTTTCAAAAATTAATTTACAACAGGCTAATTTACTTGCCTGCTTTGTAATGTTTCAGGTGAATAAAGTTGATAAAGCAAATAAAGTTTCAGGTGAATTAAAGTGGAGCTAATTGATCCTTTTAGTGCTTTAGAGTTACTGCAACTAACTTCCAGACTTAAATCCAATTAAGAATCTGTGGCAGGACTTAAAACATTGTTAAATTCAATCTAAATGTTTTAGTCTGGACATACCTGAAAACTCACAGCTGTAATTATTGTGAAGGGCAGCTTTATGAGTTATTGACACAAGAGGGCTGAATAGAAATGCCTGCCGTACTTTCCAGAATTTTGAAAACCCAAGTATCATTTTTACTTTCACCTCTCCATTATGCACCATTCAGATTTCAGATGTTATAAATACCAGCAGGGCACTGTAGAGGCAAGCAGCAGTACCAAGCGTTTTATTTCCACAAGGCTAAAATTAATCTGAGTAACATCGTTTTGTTACCCACAAAAATGATTCTTTTTAAGAAAGTGTTATAAATGTTATCTACTTGCACCAACATCCCCGCAGTGAGTCACACAAACACCAATGTCAAGACATACTATTTCACAAAACACTTAATGGATTCATTGCTTTTATTTTTTGTGTTTTTGTGACAAGGTTGAATTAGAGTTTTGTCACCAATTTTTAGCTAACTCTCTTTTGATAAACCACTCATATCGGCTTTTATGAAAATTCCATCAGGATAATAGGAATCCTTGACGCTGGATTATTAAAATCAGAGCAAAAGTGATGACCTGACCCCCCAAACGCCCAAGAGGGAGCTTGACGGGGACAAGAAATTTCTCTTTGTTTCTGTTTATTCATTCATGAACAGCCGTGAAACAAGGACGAGCGCTCCGCGAGATTTGTCCTTGTTTATGCCTTTTCATGAATGAATAAATAGATCAAGGGAAATTCCATTTCTCTGTCTTCACAAGTGCAGATGGGGACTTGTTTTAGTAACGGTGCCGGCGCCTGCACTGCTGTGTTTGACTGCTGTCAGGAGACACATCTGTTACTCTGCGCCGGGAGGAAGCCGGGCACCACCAGGGACAGACAGGCTTCAGCAGAGGCGTTTGTCCTCACACAGAAGAAGTTGTAATCCAATAACTGCGAGCCACACTGAGAATTCCTTCAGGTCAGTGAAGCTCAGGCTGGAGGAAAGCGGCTGTTAGAACATTGGGATAATATTGACTTACCTACTCAGCAGTGTGTGTTTCTTTGTCGGTGTGGGTGAGTTATTTCTCAGGGCGTACTGAATGATTCTCTGTGTGTGTTTACACGTGAGGTTAAGTGTGTAAGTGTGCACTGCAACTTTTGTTAGGTGGAACTACTTTTCTTACTGTTGGTCTGTCAAGAAAAGCACCTTCCAAACTAACATGCATATTTATGTTTTTTTTTTCTCAGTATCTCCTACAGATAATTTTTGAATAATTCAACCTCTCAGTATATTTAAACATGTAGAAGAAATTCTACCTTGTTACTTGTTTTTTATTACTATTATTATTTTGAAAAGCTCAGGTGAATATTCTGACTTTTGATCACAGAAAATTAAAGTTTAAAGAATTCTGAGATTAAAGTCAGAATTTTTTTTTAATCCTCTTCTGCAGGTTGAGATGATAGGCGAGATATCTTCAAGGAACAAATCAAATTCTCTTTTATTTATGTATCTTTAAACAAAAATCACGTTACAACACAGAAGGATCAGCGGTTTGCTAAAATAAACATTTAAAGTGACACAGCAACATGGATCTGAAGTGGTTTTCAGGTTGAGGTAAACCAGTAAAGGCACTGAAACCATTCAGCCCAAAGTGATGTTGTTTGTTACTGTAGAAACAGATTTAAATACTTGTTTGGTTCTTGAGTCCAGAGTTTTGTCTGACATTTATTTTAGCACCTACAGCAGAGTATCACTGAAAAATGCATGAATAGGCTGTGTATATTTCATGAGTTTTGTGCTTAGAAATAAAATAAAAAACACTTCCAACAGATTTGCTTTCTCTTTTTTTCCTCATATCTAAATGTTTTTGGTTCATTAAACACATTTTAATAAAAAGTGAGTAAATACAAGCAGCAGTTTTCAGATTCTGGTTTTCATTTATTAGTAAAATGAAGAAATATCTATTAGAAACTGTCTGAAAACAAAAGCCTCACTTCCCTCAGGTAAAGTCAGAGTTCATGGTTTCAGAGTAAGAAAAGGAATTGGGGGGTAAAAAAAAACAATCTCCATGGGATAAATTCACACAGGAACAACAATAACCTTCCTCAAGTTTCCTCAAAACATCGAGGTGATCTACCAACTGAACAGAATCTGACAAACTATTGGAATTTGCACACTATATTACATCAGGTAAAAAAAAAGATAAGAAAAGAAAAACATTTCAGACAAACTATTTTATTCCTACAGTCTATAATGGTGGTGGTATTGTGATGGTATGTGGCTGTTTTATTATTGCCGCTTTCCTTAAATTTCATGTAAGTGATGGAATCGTGGATACTACCGGAAAGCCCTAAAGGAAAAAGTCTAGTCATTAATTTGTTACTTTACATTAAATGCTCTTGGGTCATGGAGCAGGACAAGAGTTCAGCAAGTCAACATCTCACTGAGAACAAGTGAAGGTTTTGTTATAAATCATGACTTAAATCTGACTCATAACTTTGTAAATGTTTGAAACCCTCCAATGTCGCAGAATCCAAATACAGTGTTATTAGGTTAGACGGGAATTACATTTTCTTTTTACATATTGCCAAAGTGCTACCTTATTATCTTAATAACTGAACTCATCACATGAAAACTGTTTCCTAATCATGTTCTCTTTGTCCGATATCTAAATTTGTGAAAAAAAATTGGAGTGAAGGTTCATGAGGTAACACTGCAGATAAAGTTACAAATAATATTTGTAAAAATAGCATTGATTGGTATTGATATTACTCCTATTCTGTTGAGAAGCTGCAAATCAAACTTATTTGTTTTACAGTGCAGTGGATATTTACTACCTGATAAAGTGAAAAATCACTGCAGCAGCAAAATAATAACAAGAGGAAATATTTTGTGGAAATGAAGCATTGGTTGGTTTATGAAAAAACATCTAGAACTCTTAGTAACCCTCTGAGGACCAGAATCAATTACTAGAATATAGAAAGTACATGACAGCAAGAAAAACCTGCCAAGAGAGGATAAGACTACTAAAATTTACAGCGAGATATTCAGAATGGTTCATGAAAAAGACTCAAGGTTCCACATCAGTGGTAGAAAATGCATGTGGTGAATTTTTATTTGACTTCTTTTTTTTTCTTACTTTCTTGTTGTTGCTTCATTTCTATAAATGTTGTAAACACTGAAATTGGTACCATGATGTGTTGATCCTTCTCTAAAATTAATTTTATTTACTAGCTGGAGGGAAAGCAATAAGAAAATTGGCTGTTGGATGAAAGAGTTTTCAGTCCAGTAATGTTCAAAAAGTCTTAGAAGTTAAAAAGAGTCTACTCTTGTCTTCATATTGTACCTGCATATTTATGCCGTACTTCTTTAACTTATAGGGATCAAATACTTATTCTAACAAGGCTTCTTTCTGAGCGACAGCTCACCTGACGCTTCCCTTATGTTGTTAACTTCACCCTACTGGCAAAGCAGTAGGCAAAATCATGTCTCATGAATTATGTGCATGCATTAGTTGATCTACATAAAAAAAGCCGGCTCATAATGGCCTTGCATTAAACCAAATGGGCTGTGTGCCACTGCTGTAGAGAGTCGAGATAATTCATGAGCCTGCAGCTTGATGTGGAACATTTGGAAACTTGTGTTATAGCGCGTGTCAGGCTGTGTGTGTGTGGACTGCGTGTACCATCAGGATGGGTAAGTTCTCCTGTCCGGATCTGAAAACGGCTCGGTTGCACAGACCAGCCACGCGGGACAGGGATACCCAAGTACCAGAGCTCTTGTCAAAGCCAGAACCTGGAAGCAGTGGAGAGGGACCTGCGTTAGACTGTATTTAAACAGAGCTCATTCAGTATTTATTCAACTGACTCAGCTCTGGGTTCACACAGTGGCACTGGATATTGCAGCTAAATAACACGT